GAACAACGAGGGTGCGTTCGTCTGCCCGCAGGACTTCAGGAATGGAACTATTTTTGAAGTTTTTGCTGATCTCTTCCGCGCTTTTTGGACCGGTCTGGATGGTCGTCATGTCAGTTAAGCAACCCATTGCCCGCACTGCAGCTACGCGTGTACCTGGAGAGCGCATGTTCGCGCCGCCATGCTGCATAACACTGCATTGTTACAATTCACTTGCTTGCGCGCAGTTTGGACGTGATGGAGTTTGTTTACTCGAAGAGATGCTCGTGAATGTGCTGGATGAAGCTGAACAGACAGGCAGTGGGCGCTTCACAGAAACCGTCAAACAGATGATTCAGTTCTGTAGCGACTCTCCTCGTAGTATTCTCTTAGGCTGTCTGCAGCTGCGGAATGGCAGCTCCTGCGTATGCCATTTTACAACGTTGAAGTCCTAGTGGGAATCACTGGGCTTGCATATATGTTGCTGTGTGGCTGCAGTAGCAGAAGGGGAAACAACTCGGTTCTTTTTCGTGTTGCCAAAGCCAATAGGTTCGCCTTCCAAGGGCAGCGTTATGCTCGAGGTCTACGGTAGGCTCAAAGAGGACGCATTATACTCCCACGTTTTTTGAGAATTCAGGCACCGTATAGAGAACCCGTTGTCACCTCACGTGTATTAGCTCGCACAAGGAATTATACATGCATGCCTTTCGCTGATTTTTGCCTTTCCTCAGCTACGCCGGTGGACGATTCTGGCTAGGGCAAATGCCGATGATGAAGGTATTGAGGAGTATATTCCACTTGCACGGCAGCGAAACCGCGAACTTTTCTAAAGCGAATAGAAACGCCATGCATCATGGACGAATCTGCAGCCTACTGTTCCCTTCGTGCTTCTCCGCTGTCTGCGATGCTACGACATCATAGATGACGATTCGGGGGATTTCGTTCTGTGAAATGCGCTATACGCGTCCAACACATACCCTACCATTTGCTTCAAGTCCCTTCTTTGTGTGTCTTCATTTACCGTGCGAAATGCTTCCCTTCCATGCATTGCAGTTTTTAGGCTTTTTGACACATGAAGATGCAATTTATGGTTGGAACGAAGTTAGTTGGACTGCCTTCAGGCCAAAGAGTCTGTGCGTGGTGTTTCTTTGTCACCTCGCGAGAACCCGTACCGTGGGTCTTTTGTGCGAGCTGGATGATCGAAGCACTTAAATGCGCATTTCAGCGTATTGCACTCACCGTTTGCAAAGAATATCCAATGCAGGCCCTCTGGGGTTGGAAGCAGCAGAACTAGTTTCCAACGACTGGGCATTTAAAATGAAGGCATAGATTCCGCTGCATGTCTGCGCATGAAAAACTAGCACTCTCGCTTTGTTAATTTCTGCTGGCTGGACGATTTTGAAGTTGATTACATTTCTTGAGGTCCGTTATCGGTCGGTAGTGGCAGAGTTGCTTTGATCCGTGCTGCATTCACCGTGGGGCCGCCTGCATGCGACCACTGGCACGCGTGTATAAGAGTTCGAGCTCGGCCTAAGCGCACATGCCGTGAGGCGCCTTATGCAGCTGGGTTAGATTAGTGCGTCAAGCATAAAGAATATCTACGGTCTCGTATGTTCCTTGAGGTCATCTTTGCCTTCCTCGATCCAGCCAGGGATTAGGGTAACCAAGTTGCTTAATTTTCCTCAGGCCTGTTCATCAAGTGCTATAGAAATATCTGCTATGCTGGCCGACTATGTGAAGTGATGAGGTACAACGCCTGTATAGTCCACTATATCATCGGGTTGCTGCGTCTGCGTATGAACATCCCATGTTTCTTGGGATCTGAGATTTGGGCAGACGGCATAGAAAACAAAAATTCCAAGCTGTTCTGATAGTGAATCCGCTTGACACGTGGAGCGTTACGCTTGCAGGCGCTCGCCGGTAGGCATGGCATACTCGTCTACGTAGCCACACAGTGGCACTTGCTCTCTAGACTGAGCGGGCGGAAGATTGGCCCAAACTAATTTATA